TCTTATTCTTGCATATATTTTGAATGACACATACATTTACATTTATATTTATATTTAAACTCCTCAATTCTAGTACTGTTTTTCATGTCCACACTTAAATTATTCCATAATTTGACCCCACTTATGGAAATGCAAAATCTTTTTTTGGTTGTACGTATAGCATGAACTTTTAGATTTAACTGACCCCTTAAATTGTATCCCCCTTCCCTTTCATCAAACAACTTTTGGATTCCACCAGGTAATAAGTCGTTCCTGGCTTTATACATGAACACAGCGGTTTTATATTCCACTAAATCAAAGAATTTTAACAATTTAGACTGTATGAAAACTACATTTGTGTGATCCCTGTACCCCATCTTGTGCACAATTCTAATCGCTCTTTTTTGGAATATGTACAGTGGTTGAAGTGAACTTTTGTAAGTGTTTCCCCAGTTTTCAACGCCATACTCTAAGTATGGTAAAATCAATGAAGAATACAAAATGCGAAGTGCTTTCACGTCAATGTGAAAGCGCTTTGAGTGTGCTGTAAAAGCATAGGAAGGCACTATACAAGTATAAGACCATTTACCATTTAGTGGCAGGTAGTAGAGGGTAAATTTGCTTAAGTACCTGTACTTAACGTTTTATCTCGAGTTTATGCTTATTTACACTTATAATCCACTACATTTCATTGTGAAAGCCTGTTGTTTTTACTCCACTATATTTGACAGATTTAAATACTAATTACTTTGCAGATTCAGATTATTAATAGAAAATATAACTGAAAGATGAATTTCAATTTGTTTGATTAAGTTACCCAGTAATTAAAATGAGCCTCATTTTTATTAGCTGCAACATTAACTTTGTTCTTCACATGAATGCATCAATAATTATAATTCAGTTATATGATTTTGAGATGGGCTGTCCTGCACAATAAGTCATGTTTTGGTACTCTAATACAGAGTACCATTACCTCCCCCCTCTGCCCCTGGATTGTAACCCACCACAGAACATAAAGACATAAAAAGACTACCTCTGCTGTTTGCACAAACTCAATACATCCCCCCTTTTTGTCATATTATATGTAAACCCAACTTCACTATGTCATATCTGCTGCTGCTGGTCATTTGCACTGCTGTCCATGTACATTTCATAAGCTATTATGCATCTCATCACCAACGCCCCTGGTGATGGTGACCACCTGACAATCTTCTTGTTATTATTTGCACTACTGTCACTGTTTGCACATGGTTTTGAGTTTCTTCATAGCCTATTAGTTTATCCTTATTACTTGAATTCAGTTTTTATATTGTGACCGGGCCAATATACAGGCCTAGGCAACTCAGACCGTAGTAACTTTTAGTAGTTCCTCAAGAATAACACCCCTCCTGTTTTCAGAGGTCAAATTCATGCAAACTTCACCAGTACTGAGCTGCTACCCCCAGATAAATCTGCAAACACAGAGACGTTGGAGTTACTCACACAGATAAAACTTTATTTGAGTCAATGTATAATTTAACAGTGAAAATATTTTAAGAAGCCTAGCCCCAGAAGCTAAAATGCTACCTATAAGAAGAAGTTTTCCCCCACTCAATACAGTGCAGAACAGGAATAAAATGGTCAGAGTCAACAGGTTAAAAGGCACCATATAAACACCAAAAATCAATTAATCACACATCAACCAACCAAATATAAGAGGGCCTTGCCTCCCTGTGCATAAAACCATTCACACACTGTTCACACACCATAAAATTGATTAAACCCTATTTGGAAACAATACATTAAATAGGGAACATAATGCTAGGTAAACCTCTTAACATAAAAGCAAACAAGGCGAAACATTACATAAGCAAAGCAGCAGTGGCTAGTGGCAACAAGTAAAGCCACTATTAATAAATAGCACAAAACCATCAAAGCAATTAAAACCAACAGCGCTACAGGTTACCTTGGCTGCACGTCACCCTGGCACAGCATGTGCTATGGACACCAACTTCTGCTGTATCACGCTTGCATCAATTATCACCCCCGGAGACCATGCAGTAATCCCCTAAAAACAGTCTACAACCAAACCAACCTTATTCAGCACTTTACACTGCAACAGATCCGATCTACGACCAGTCCGTTGAACATACCTTAAAGGAATAGCAGGACACCGATCGATGGAGGGAGATTCACTTCCAAACAGTTACGGCAGCAACCAGCATGGAAATTGCTTACCGCAACAGCATCTCCTTGGGTGTTATTTATTTCCATGATCATTCCAGCAAACTACTCACAAGGCGGTTTAGGCATGGCCAACCCGCCGGTTACGCCTGCTTCCCCCATTTTCTATCGGCGTCCTGCCGATAACCTCTGTCAAGCTGAGACTATAACCAAAGTGTAAAT